TCGGTGACCTGAACGGCTCGACGGAGATGGCGATCAAGGCAAGTTCGGTGGACGGCGCGAGGGAGATGTGCTTCATAGATGTGAGAAAGGGTTTTCTTCTGAAAGGTCGTGATGTAGTACAGTGTTTGAGAGAGCGTGGGTTTTCTGAAAAGCTCCGCGCTCGCGAACTCAAAAGTTAAATTTTGTTTAGCGCCTCCTAAAAACACGACGGTTGTAATAAGGTATCGTCGTAACTTTATAAATTAACCCAAAGCATCAGCGTATTAGGCACCTTATCACGACGGTATTATAACACTCGTCGTCTTTTAAAATACCACGACAGTTTTTATATAAACGGTCGTCTATTGGGTGTCGTTGTTTAACATAATTGTAGTAGTGATAACCAGAGACTCAACAATATTTTCATGAACCAGTTTATTTCTAGTATGCACGAGCATCCATAAAAAATAGCCAAATCTCCCCAACTCACACTTAGACAACACATTGAAAGCCCAAGAAAACAAATTTATAACATTACGAAAAATGGTACATGTGAAAAGACTCCCGAAAACCAGCCAACTTCCAAAATTCACGAGCGTATATGCACTCCCAAAGCGTATGAAGGGCATATCTTTCTTCAGTAAGCATATTTAACAATTATCCTAGAGATGAGATTCTCTTTAGATGGAAAAATATTATGTAAGAATAAGCTTATGATTTTTACCTTATTCTTTGTTTTGAAATATGCAAAGGTTGATTTCGAATAATTTGAGATTAAGGAGCTATGCCGATTGGGATAGAACGACCAAAGTTAAATGTGGGATATTAAATACCTTCTCAGTCATGTGCGTTAAATGTGGGATATTGAATACATTCTCAGTCATGTCCCCAACTCTTCTTGATTTTGGACTAGCAAGAGTTGAATATTGTTGGCGAGTAGAATATATCCTATTCTATTTGGGTTTTATTTATTTTTCCTTTTGTATAGATATTATGTAATTAGGATTCCACTTATTTCCTAATTAAACCCTATTAGGGTTTGTAACCTGTATTATAAATACCTCCTTTCGGAGAATAAAATATATCTGAAAATATTCTACCCATATTGTTTGACTTGGTATCAGAGCCAGGTTTCTGGTGACCTGTGTGTGTTGTGCCCACCCGTATTCTACTGTGTGCCCTAATTTCTTTTAGGGTTCTTGTGTCTGTGCCTTTGCCGTGTTCCGTTGTGTGCTCTGTCGTGTTTGTGCCTCTACTGTGTTCGTGCATCTGCCTCTACTGTGTTTGTTCCTCTGTTGTCTTCGTGCATCTGCCATATTTGTGTCTGTGCTGTGATCTGTTGTATACCCTGCGTGATTTGTTGAGTTTCTGCTACAATCATGGGTGATAATTCCATTGTTGGTGCTGCTGCTGCTTCTGCAAATTTGCGTGTTTCTGACTCTATTCCAGGTACTGGCTCTAATACTTGGATAATTGACACTGGTGCTTCT